AAAAAAAAAATATATATATATATGAAAAAAGGAATAATATTCTCTGTGTGTTTATCATACGCACAATTACGTTTTAATTTCGTGAACTTTTTATTCTTGACTGACTTTTACAATTCAAATTCCTACGTCGAATTGCCGATTAAACTCGATCTTTATTCAATTTGACTTGGACGCATTTGCACGATGAAATTTACGTAAATCTGAGGCTTGATTCCCATCACTTGATTTTTCTGAATATATACCTGCTCGATCATGCTAGAATATATGATTATGTGCTCGATGAACGTACCTTTAAAAAATATTCTTGTCCCCTCGAGGTCGTAAACGGGCCACCGTGCGTCGATGAAATCGACTGCAACTGCAACAAACAAGACAATAATGGCATTAGAAACTATTCAAAAGTAAAGAGTGATTTTCCACTACAAGTCTCTTTCTTTACTCGCGTCAGGAAATTACAAGTTGAGGTGGAATTTTAATGCTTCGAGTCTCTAATCGATTACAACTACTGCGACATTTGCACTGCGCGCTAATGTGTCCACGACAATATCAGTTCCAAAAATAAATCACCTTCGTACGATCTCATCACGGTACGATCATCGAATCTATATACAGTCGCGATTACTGACATACTGTATAAGTGAACCAAAAGAACAACGATAAACATTTAATGTTGAGAATACGGTCGTGAATACAATACGAAATCGGTACAAAATTGCTGCAACTATTAGAGAGAGAGAGAGAGGGAGAGAGAAAGACGTTGTCCTCGTACTGAGAGACGTCGCGACGTTTCGCAGGAATACCGCCGACGGTATTCCCAACGACGTATATCCAGGAACGTACTCGACACGTCGCCCACAAATTTCCCACGAATGCGCCTGATGTACGTGCATCCGAAATGCCGCGAGCGGTATATAGCGCGAGAGAGATTCTCCGATGCGCCCGCGCGGCGGAGTGCGCCTTTGCGCGATCAGCGAAAAATCTCGACGTAGGATAAACAGTGCACGCCACGAAGGCGGCCCTCTCTTTTCATCCGACCGTCACCGCCCGCCCAACTACAACCTCGAATACCGGAGCCCGGTGGAAAAAATTCCACTGCGAAAAAGTGCGTCCCTGTTGCGACAAATTACAAAGCTCGCCCGTCCATACTTGGACGTATTTGCGTGATACAGGCTCCCAAAAACTTCCAAAAGCCCCCGAAAATTAAACTGTGCACTCTTTACGGTGGTCTTTTTCGGGGTCCTGCGAATAAAATTTCGCGCACCGGAAAATAATAATATTGCCGCAATTTCATATTTCTCTCACGTGAACGGTTTTTTCCGTGTGATATAAATAACGTTTGAAAAGGTAAATCTCAAAATGGAGTTACACGTTTTCGTGAGTTTTCAAAGGTCGTCGGGACACCCACGTCGGGGGGTTCCTGAAATTCCATTAAAAATTTAGTCATTTTCAACTTCAAATATACATCTCCTTTTGTTTTTAATCCAAAAATAGTAGCAGTAGTATAGACATGTGAAGTTATTATCACTGATACTATAGTAACGCTTAGTAGAAAAATTGGTTCTTTTGATTATAATTCTTTCATTCACACGATTATAGTTACAAATGTCACAAGTTTTTTTCAATATTCCTTTATGAATAGTCCGCTTGTCGCGGTTTATATTGCCTTTAAGAGAATAAGCAAGGAAATTTTCTCTCTCTCTCTTTCTCGTACGTGCAACAAGTTTTCGTAAATTTTTAAAGACCGCAAGCGTGCAGGATCATTACCGTGAACATGGCCAGTGCCTCTCCCTGACCTATGCGCATATCGCGATATAACAACGGTCACGTTACAAATCAATTGTAATGTTGGCTTTTATTATGAAATACGAGTCAATAAGTTCTCCTAAGGCAATTTCCTACAATATTCTTCCTCCTATGTATTCTGTTCGGTCGACGCTATGACGCGCGGTGTGTGTGTGTGTGTGTGTTTGCGCTGTGTTATTCGGCACAATCGGTGCGAAATGTCACGGTCTCGTTCTCCCAATGATTTTCGGTTTTCTCGTCTGATGCAAATACGATCGAGTGCTCCGCTAAAATTCGAGCGCGGAGCTAATCGAATAAACACATGGTACATCGTAGATTCAGAGAAACAATAGCAAATACGTGTCATTTAATTAGCCCGTGTTTTATGTAAAGTTTGAAGTATTCGTGTTTCATTTACGGAATATCTCGAGCTTTCATTCTGATTGTTATTGCAATGTTGGCATTTTTTTTCTTAACTTTTTCAGCGTCTCTCTCTCTCTCTCTCTCTGATTCGTAATGTTACAACTTTTCGAATACGCGAGACATTTTTATTTAGCTCCAATTTCATTTCGACTTTATTCGATTCTTTTTCACAGACTCTTTGCCGACATTTTAGTTTAATCCGCTCTATTGCGTTTGCGCGATGTGTAAGTTTTGCTCGCAATCCGCTCAATGTTATCATACGACGAAAATGTCCAAAAGTATCGAGAAAGAAAGAAAAAGAGAGAGAGAGAGAGAGAGAGAGAGAGAGAGAGAGAGAGAGAGAGAGAGATGTATGTGTGTGAGCGACCGAGCTTAATTTTGCCGCGTTTATCAAATCGATTTATCCGCCAAACGATCTCCGGCGTATCTACCGTTACTAGGATTAGCCCGATGTTTCGATCAACTTTTGTGACGAATTACGAATCTAGGTCAAACGGATCCACCGCGTAATAACTTTTGAGGTCGACATTGAGGCAACGCGGAATTCTTCGAGAATTCCATTCGTTCGCGCGATATCGCGCGGGTGGAATGTCCGCATTGTCAAATATACTTTCAATGTTTCTTCATCTCATGTCGACTTTCGTTGTCGTACGTGGCGGCATGGAGAAAAATTTATGGACGCTTCACTCAGTGTCATATCTGTGAATGCCAATTGTCTTGATATATTCGATATTAATATCATAAGCTTCTCTTTTTCTAATTTGGGGATCTACAGGGTGAGTTACATTCTTGTCTCTTGAAATTAAACTCTATCACAGTCTTGAATACAACACACAAATATGTTTAATAAAATACAATACAAATATGTTTAATAAACTATTGAGTCGATAAATTCGATTAGTTTATTGAAATTTTTACGAAAAAATTAAAGTCGATATTTTTATAGTTAGGTATAAGTTTATTTTTATTTTCGTTTTTTTCAATGACTTTCCGTCATCAAAAAATCAATTAATATATCATTGAATAAAGTTATGTTTAACTATAAAAGTATATAAGTTTGGAATTTTTCGTAAAAATCCCTTTATCGATCAACCCAATCTTGGCAAGTACAATAAAAGACACTCCTCCCATCTTTGTATTTCCACACGATCGGCTCCTTTCAATTCGGCAATTGCAACAATTATTACTAAAGATTATTTCCCAACCGTATATCTGTAACTTTCGAGCTCAACTGCTTCGTCTTTTACCTACTTCGATATGAGATTCAAATGGATCAATCTGAAAAACTCTACTTGCAATATTGCCAGACTAAATTAACGTAAATCGAGAGGTCAATATCTCCTCTTCTCCGAAATCTAGCTCGTTACCGACGGAAGAGCTACGATATGAAGCGTCTTTCCACGCGGAACCCGCGGACGAGTAACGCCAAACGTAATTCCAAATGGCGATAGAAATTAGCAGGCACAAGCGCGACGGGATTCACCGTTTCTTTTCCGAGCACGCACGCCGGTCGATCGTTAGACCCGGAGCTTTATTCCGAAGCACAACTCGCAAGCCCGGTTACTTACACGAAAGTCTCCCCGCAATGTTCGCCTCCGCGTAACTTTACCCATTTGCAACTTTCGTGTTGCGCCTCGTGAACTTCCCCCCTCTTCCGTCCCTCTTCTCAAAGAGAGGACCTCGTTTCCTCCCCCGATTTCGTTTTCTTTCCGACGAAAATGGTTTTACGTTCTCACGTAACAAATCTCGCAGACGACGGAGAGACTTCTTTAATATTCCTTTTTTCCCTCTCTCTCTCTCTCTCTCTCTCTTTGTCTCTCGTAATTTCCTTTTCCGAATTTTGAGATGGACAGACGCTGCAATAACAGCTCCGTTTTTCTGCAAAGTGTCATCTCACGGGATATTGAAAAACAAGCGTACACGGTAACGATACTTGCGATCGTCCGACAGCGGAATGTTCAGCCCAGGAGAATTTGGTCGATACGCTTTAAGAGTCGGTTCCTGATAATTCTGACGTTATTTAAATGTAAATTTCCGCCGAGAGAAAAATTGTATTGCAGATTAATTGAAGAAGCGTAATTGGAAGGTACTACTATTTATTGACAGTTTTAACCTTTAACCTATAGTGACGCTCTATCTTTTCATCGTATTATCGCGCAAATTTATTTTACGTGTATCTTGGCGCTCGACCAAATCTTCTCGAATTGCATATACACTTCGGGAAATTGCAAAAATTAATCAACTTCGAACAACGGTTCCGGCGATACGGGTTCGTACGAGACGAGATCGGCCGATTATACACTCCGTCGCAACATATTCGGCTCAATTTTGAATTAAGTAAGCGATATTGTTCACAAGTATCACAAATGACTAAATGTACAGCAGACAGATTTCCGAATAAAAATTACGGTTGATGCGAAAGTTGGACGAAATAAACATGCCACGTATGGGGGCTTTGGAGAAAATTGACCAGAACCAATGAAAATGTTGCTCCGTATAATTGGAAGTGATTATTAATTAGCTATGTATCCAGTGTGTCATTTAATATGAAATGAATACGTACATCGTTCAATATATAGTAGAAATCAGAGAGGAGCAGGAGGGAGAATCGCATCAGAATCCAATTATACTGCTTCCGTCATTCAACGATCACTTCCCTGAGAATATATTAAGATTCACTGTTATGTTTCCGATTATATGTTTATAACTGAATTATATTATACAGGATGACTCAGAGAGAACGAGTATAATAAACTTTGACAGATTATTTGGGAAGAGCATTTTAAGTAAAAAAAATGAACATAGGTCGTATCCTCAATATCACTGTAGATACAGGATTTGGAAATAGCACATTTTGAGTACTTATTATGAGACTGAACTGTATGAATGAATAATATCTCACGTTTTCCTGTTTTGATTTCTCAAGAGTCATTTCGCATGAAAAATGTAATTTTAAAACACTTCTGTAACTACGTAAATATTAATTCCCCAAACAATCTATCGAAATTCTTTACATTTGTTCTCCGAATCAGTTTGTACATTTTCGATACAGCAAATTAAAGAAATATCTCACGTAAATTTAATGTCATGGTAAATTTTGTTGCTCGCAAACTCGCTCTGGCATTTACGAAATATTAGAATTTATCATTTCCC